CACAGCTGGCAGTTTGTGTGTGTGTTTCAGTAAAGGAGGGGAAAGACGGAGGGTTTATAATGTGTTAGTGGGCGAGGAGGCAGAGGAAATACAGTATATCCCGAGTTACGAGCCGTGTGTGTTAGAATTCTTGTATTCCTACATTTGTGAGGACCAAATATTGTTTTTTGCGTGTGGTGTTTTTGTGGAAAAAGAGAACATTTTCTCACTTCTGCAAAGGGTTATTTTATGGTTAAACCATAATTATAGCTCATTACCGATTTTATGTTCTTTTCATAGTTTTGCCATAATTCCTATTGGTAATTATAGTATTGCACTAACCAAGTTAATTATGGAGATATGGAAACACAGCAGCATTTTTTAAAAGGAAGTGCAATGGGTCAAGACAACACGAGGCCTCAGAGGTTGTGTGAGTTGTAAACAGACCTCTCCATAACCTTATCTGGAGATGAACCTGAAACGATCAGAACATAGAAGTATTCAGAGTTCAAGGCTTGAATTCTACAAATAGAATAGAAGTAGTGCCATAAGAGCCTCTATACAAGTGATACATCATGTGTAAGTTGCAAACAGGTGAATGATATGGATGTTCTTAGTTCTTCTTACCCATTCACAGAGCTTGAAATGTGCAAACAGCATAAACGCTTCAAAGAATATGCGTTGTGTTTTATTGCTCAGGACGGTTTTGAATTGTTTTTCTGACTTGTCAGGGTGTCGAATCTTCCAACTCGTTTTTGAGATTATTCCGATAAAAGCAGCACACTGTTGAAAGTGAAACTTAACTAACCTGTCTGTCCCTATGGATCTGATTTCTTGATCTAGGCTACATCCCTCCTCCAAGTTACATAAAAGGCCAAAGAAAGTAGGTCTTCAATCCTGCTCACACGTTGACAACAAACAAACAGATGTACACACCGAGAAACATAACCTCCTTGGCACAGGAAGTGATCCCTTATGCAACGTGAAGCATATGTACGGCAGGTACAGTAGGTGAGAGTTGAACCAGGGAGTTGCTTTGATGGATGATGTTTAGGAGTGAGGAAGATATGCCAGCCTCGAACAGGGATGATTTGGCGCCGACCGGATAAACATTTTAATCCTCCAGATATACACAAGATGGGAGGCAGGAATGTGAACCCATCGTACTCTAGAGCAGTGGTTCTCAACTGGTGGGTCGCGACTCAAAAGTAGGTCGCGGACCCGTTTCGAGTGGGTCGCGGATGTGTGAGTGAAGAAAAAAAAACTGGAGAAAAAAAATTTGAATTCTTTTTTTTTTTTTTTT